AGTAGAAAATTCTTCGTTTCTTTTCGGCGTACGTTTGGAAGGTTAAGGGTTAGATTTGGTAAGGTTTGGATGTTCCGCGTGTATATTCCAGAGCTTTGCTTTGGTCGCTGGAGAAGCTTTTACCATATGTACAAGAGCGATGTGACTTCCTCTGCCTTATATGTAAATCGAAGTTTCGTCAAGTGTCAAACGTCGTTTCTTGGTGTCAACTAGAAGTTCATATCCCTACCAGAAGTCTATTTGCAGTATTTTTATGTCTAAGTCCAATAGAGTAAATACCCAGAGAAACGGCAACATAAACCTCGAATTTGGAAACAATGATTTCCACCCAAATGTCGTGATTTCAATGTAGTTGGTAGCTTGAAGTGTAAACAGGGAAAATTTTCGACCAAATCTGGCTTTATTCTGAGGAATGAAACTAAGCGCAGTACTATTATCCACTAAATATCTCCAAAGCAATTAGTACATTGAAACACTCCTACACTGATGGACCGGATGGTATTCCATCTAGCATGCTAAAACGTGGAGGTGATGACATGTGTGTTTTGTTTCTCAAACTATTCGCGATATCACTCTCTTCAGCGTGTTACCCTACTGCCTGGAAAACTACACAAATCATTCCCAAAATTAAAACAGGACCTGAAGCAAACGTTGAAAATTACCGGCCTATAAACATAACTTCAGTGGTATCCAGAGTGATGGAAAAAGTAGTTAAGGCGGCTGTAGTCCAACATCTATTAACTAACAATCTCTTGTCGACCTCCCAGCATGGATTTCTTAGGTCCAGATCATGCGATACATGCCTAGTAGACTACCTGAATGATATAACTCTGAAACGAGACAGCGGACTCCTTGTATCAGTCCTATTCCTAGACTTTAAGAAAGCCTTTGATAAGGTCCCACACAAAAGGCTACTCGTCAAACTAAAGTCCTTCGGAATACACAACCCACTGTACTCATGGTTTGCTTCGTTCTTAACAGAACGTAAACAGATGGTAAAGTACAATGACTGTCTCTCGTCCCCTAGACCAATCACCAGTGGAGTCATCCAGGGAAGCGTATTAGGGCCACTTTTGTTTCTTATGTATATAAACGATATATGTAACACCATAGAATTCGGGAAACCGTACTTATATGCTGATGATCTCAAAATAGTATACAGCTATAAGCCTGAGACACTAAGCGAAAGTGTATCCCAGATCCAAAAGGACCTCAAGAACGTAACTATATGGTGTGAAAAATGGCAATTACCATTTAACCTCAACAAGTGCGGGATCATGCACTTTGGAAAGCATCCCTATAAACCGCGACTTCACTTAAATGAATGTATAGTCCAAACACTCGAATCAGTACACGATTTAGGAATTAATTACACAGGAAGCCTAAACTTTGAAGAACATGCCTCCTCCATTATTTCTAAATCTAGACGACTAATTGGTTTTATAATGAAAAACTTTTTCACAACAGAGGGTAAACTTACTCTCTACAAAATATGTGTACGACCCACCCTTGAATACTGCTCTTTTGTCTTCTCTAATATGAATATCGCAGACAAGAAAAGAGTAGAAGATGTTCAAAGACGTTTCACACGTCAACTACTAGGATGTAACTCGAATCTCGATTACACAGACAGATGTAAGCATCTATCTTTAGAACCTTTATGGCACCGTAGGCTAAAACACAATTTAATATTTCTCTACAAAGCGATATATGGGCTCTCCTTTCTAACCTCCTGCCCGACTATCACCCACGACCCAGCCTATAGGCTTAGAAACAACGCATATACACTACTTACCGTAAAACACCAAAAACAAATGCGTTGTAAGTTCTTTACAGTGCGGTACAGTTTATTGTGGAACAGGCTGCCAATGCCTATCCGCAACTGTGATACGTTTACCAGATTCAAAAAGCTAATAACCCTATTTCTAGACTCCAAAGAGCTTCAGCATTACCTTGAACTCCCGCCCACCGATGAGGCACTTTATTACGGACCGGCTAGTATCTAGAAAGAACAAAATTATAACAAGTTCGACTGTTACTAATCTGAATATAACCAAATCACAGGATATATGGCTTATCCTTTCCTATTATTCATTGTTTATTAATCATGATTTCATGCCCCTAACCCTAACTTTCATTCCCCAAATCTCTACAGGTTAAATGTACATTATTCTTCCTAAAAGTCATGCTTTTTTTTCTACTGCAAGTAGACAGATAGCTCAATCTTATGGATACTGATCTACTAAGGCCGATCATTCAAAGCTCAAAATTTGGCCACAAAGTCTTGTGAGTTTCTCAGTGTTTTATTTTTCTCACCCTAAAATCTTTTTCTTTTTTTTCTACAATTTTATACCCTCTCATATCTTTTGATTTACTATTAATCCTTACTTCTTTAAACCATTAGTTATTTTCATAGCAGTGTGATATACTATATGGACATCTAACCCATAAAAGAGAATTTTTAAATATCTGATTTGCTTGTAACATGGACCTAGTAGAGACAGTGTATTCCAACTATGTGCTTTGATTAAAGCATTAATCATACTTACCACAAACGTAAGAGAGCCTAACATCACAAAAGGAGGGAGGGTGGCGTTACTGACCAGCAAACATGAAGGTGGGGAGATAACTTCAATCCACCCATGTCTGTAGGGCAGAACATTTTGTTTAATTACGGCTCCTTATGGTTTAGTGGGATGTCACGGACTTATGGTATTGAAGCTGATTTATCACGCAAAATACCTCTTTAAATCGTGTTACGAACGTTGAATTGGTTTCACTTCCTACCCAGTAATCCTTTTACAAGCAAACTAGACAATTCGCTAATATACGAAGCCCACTCAAGACCCTATAAAACCTGAAAAAAAACAAATAAAAAAACGAAAGGGGCTCTAACAACTTCGATAATAAAAGGAAGATAGCCAGTTGTATATCACAATACTGTTCCTAGCACTATATTTTATTTTATAATCACACATAATCTCATACTCTCAGCTCTTTTCCGAATCGTCTCCATTTGTCAGTTGTATGTCCACTCACACCTTGCTAAAGCTTATTTTCTTTAACCTATTAAAATGCTCTTTCTTAACAAATACCTTAATAAAAGAAAATTAGACTGAGTAATCATGCCTTAAACATTCCTACATGAATATTGGCTACTCTGCCTCTCGTGTTTTCTTTTACTTGCTCCCTCTTTCAGCCCCCTTGATTTATGGAACAGGTTACTTCATCCTGCACCATCCTTAAAGCCTTGGATATCCCAAAGGGACATAAGGTTGCGATTTCTAGAAGCTCATACCTTCAATGGACCTATTCTTGACCATCAGTCGCACATTCGCAACGCAACTCTCGTGAAGCGCGCCAACTGTAGTACTGATTAAAACAATCTACATTCATGTCTTATAAATTTTCAACCCAGCTATGTAATTTAATACAGTGTATATTGTATCATTTGTATCAATTTGATCTTGCCTGTAAACTGGCATGCCTCATGTAACAAACTGTTATTTGAGAATAAATTATTATTATTATTATTATTATTATTATTAAAATATCTATGCCTGAAGTTCTGTTTTTATCATAAATCACGCGAGTGTTTAAGCGCTTATCCTCAGCCGTGGATATTATTCGCCTCCCATATTCATGGGAGTTTGTTTAGTCCACGCATATAGTGGATTTAACTAGCTACTACACGTTGATGATGTAAAATCTAGTGAGAAATCAGAGAAGACGCAAATGTGTGTGCACTTGAAGCGCACTTATATGTTCTGATCAGCTGGTCAGAAAAATGGCTGATGTCCATTAACACGACCAAGTATGCCTTCATGCACTTTGGGGATACAAAGGTTAATAGGTACAGAATAGGGGAAGTGCCTGTACCCGTGGTCCAGTCTCACAGGGATCTTGAAGTGACAGTGGGTCACTATCTTAAGACCGTGGCTCACTGCCGGGAGGTTTCATCTAAGGAGTTAGGAACGCTACGGGATTTAAGACGGAGATTTATCAGGTTAGATACTACAATGTTCACTATAGTAAACACAACCTTAGTGAGAACTAAACTTGAAAACTGCATTCAGATTGCAAGCCTCTGTTGAAACGGTGACTCGGATAACCTGGAAAAAGACAAAGGGCAGATACCCGTGCAATTCCAGAACTCCAGGTTTTACCATGCAAAGAGTGACTTGAAAGGCTAGACCTGTTTACTCTGTCTTACTACAGATTACGAGGTGATTTGACCTTTATGTATGAAATATCAAGAAATGATTTTGAAGCTTACATATCTTTTATTTCTTGCTGTCAGATCGAGAGAACTCAGAGGACATACAGGAATGTAAAAAAGCCAAGAATGAACAAAATACCATAACATACAAGTTTTCATATCGAGTCGTTAATTCTTGGGACTAGTTACTTGAAGAAGTAGTATTCACCCCCTCAATTAACTCGATCAGGGAAAAATTAAACACTCGCTGAAGCCTATCATAAACTGGATGACATAAAATGTAGGCTTTTGATCCTCAATTCACGAATACGAATCTAAATTTACCTTGAGAATGAAACCATGAATGTAAATGTATACCACACATGCTGAAATCAAGTATTCGTTCAAAGGCAGTGTAATATTTTGATTGAGATTTTTGTTCTTATTACGGGCTCAAAACATAGAAGTTAAAAATTCTTACTTACTTAATTGCATATTGGACGGATGGTTTTAGTTTTAATACCCTATTTACATGATAAAAAAACGTGTAGGGTACGAGTAGTTTTACAAGTTTCAGCTGTTCTGACGGAGTTGCAACTTACACCTTATAAATCTTCAATTCCTATCAAGTAACAGTAAGTATATAATGTTTTGCTATTAAGTTATAGTGTGTGAAGCATTCGTTACTTTAGCAACAAATGATGAATACGCATGTGGTGCTCTTGTTTGGGCACATTCATTGCGTGAAGTAAAGACGACGAGACAGGTTGTGTGTTTGACAACAAAACAGGTTTCAAAGCAAATGCTGTATGAATCAATTGCTGTTATTGTATTATTCTTAGAGATATTATGGGGTCTGTATTTGACCATGTGGAATTCGTTGATGTACTTGATAGCAAAGACGAAACGAACTTAGCATTACTTTCGAGACCAGACTTGGGGGTAACCTTCACAAAGCTTCATTGTTGGAGATTAACTCAGTATACGAAAGCTGTTTTTATGGATGCTGACACTATGGTAATTTACATTATTGGTTGCTGATATTTGAATTAATATTGATTTTTAACATACAACTCACTTGCACGGAGATTTATTAGGGTTTAAATAAAATAGCTAGCATTAGTCAAAGTGATACTGTGATTTCATGCTTCTGTAATGAGTTTTTTGAGCTGATTAACTGCTTTGGTTGGGTCATTCGCCAGCTACAAATCTTAACGACCCTAAACTGATTGATCTGAAGTGTCGTTCTAGTGTTATTTGTAAGTTAATGTGTAACAAACTAAAAACGCGTGACATCCCTTGCTCTCTGTACTCATTGACGATGTCGTAATATATTGGTACCTTTTATGTTCCTTTCGTTCTATTCAAAGTTTCTCCACCCAACGTGTTCTCTGACTTGCACTAAGTCTCATTTTAAGTGTGTAATGATAGGTTTACACAGCACATATCTTCATTATTTATCTCACATTTGTGCACCGAAAGTGAATTATGTTTTTGTCTTACTGTTTACCTCAATAACTATGACGTTTTTTTCAATATACGACGTTCTTATATTGAGCACTAAGTATCTGTAATGGGAGTGATAAAAAACACGTATTGCTGCTCGTATACAGCGAGGGGTTTTAGTCTGCTCTGTTTTGTACTACATATGGTGATTCACTAAACTTACGATATAGTGTGAGTGAATTGATTTAGTGATCATTGTGTTAATCTTACTCTAAACGAAGACGTAGTTATATGTAAGATAACATTTTGTTGCTTGAGTCTACAAAATAGGAGCTTGTTACTTTCGTGAAAGAAGTGCTTAGTCTCCTCGTCCGTTTCTTGTCTAGTTTGATATTTACTGACTTTTAAGTTTTGTTTACACTTTCTTGTTTCTTGATAATGTGCAAAGTTTTACTTTGATAGTAAGCGAGAACGATCAAAGGTCTAAAAACATTCTACCACTAGACCCTTTAATTGTTTTTCTCATATACAGTGGTTCGTATTGCATTTACATAGGTCGAACAGACTTTGGATCTACTTTGTTCATTATTTCTCATGTTTCATAGATTCATAATTTCCTGAATTACTACATTATTTTAGTTTGTAGTTTATTATTCACTGATCATTCTGTATTAAAAACACCATGTTGTAACTTAACAGGCGTAGTCCACTTTTATGTCTGACTTTTAACAAATAAAACGTTGAAATGAATGCCTGTTTTCCGTTTGTGTGTTCTATACTAGGTATTGAAAAATATTGATGATTTATTTGAGCGGGAGGAACTCAGTGCTGCTCCGGATCCAGGTTGGCCAGACTGTTTCAATTCCGGAGTTTTTGTTTTCAAACCGTCATTGGAAACATACAAGAAGATACTAAGTTTTGCTGTTAGCCATGGAAGCTTTGATGGGGGCGATCAAGCAAGTTTTAATATTTTTACCGTGATAGTGGAGAAAATTTGCTGCTTAGGTGTATGATTTTAGTGGAGTTTCGTTTTATGACTTGGGTGGTTTGATCTTGGAGCTCTCGTTGTTTTTCTGAACGATATCATTAGCACAAACTTGAGGTAGAAGTGAAGGGTTTGCATTTCTTTACACATGACTCAGCCTATCCTATCGACCTCAATCGTTTATTGTCGACGTTTAACCTGTTGTTGTCTGTTAATTTATTTTGTTTGTATCTCCTTTTGATCTGGTCCTCAGTCCTATATTTGTCTACGAGTTTTCCGATTCGTCGATGAACTGGATAGATTTAACTGTGTTCGTTGGTTGCTAACTGACTTGAGCACCAAGCTTCTAGAAACTCCCTAGTGTTCTAGGTATTCCTCCACTCCATGATTTCAACATTTGTCCAGTCAAATGTGTCCATAGTTGTCCATATTGATTGATGTAACCGAAGGTATGTCATGGCATATTAACGCCAATTGATGTTCATCCAGACGAAGATAGAGGGGTCGTCCATTTTATCCTATGTAGTGTTTTATGTAATCATAATGGTTTATTTCGTAGGTGACGTTCAGTTTTTCTTCTTTTTTATTTCATCTTTTGGTTTGGATAGGATTTATGGAAGTGGTTCTGCTGATTGTGCCTTACGCCTTCAATAATCGCTTTGTACTTTCTGATATGTTTTTACGCGTGGTAGAATTATCTGTTTGCTAGTTTCTATACTCGATTTCGTTTCTACAGATGAGTTGGCTTGACGTTTGTTTCTGAATTTGTGCAGTGAGTCGTTCTTTTGGAAGATATTCATCAGATATTTTTTCTCTCTGCAGTATATTTACCCCTCCTCTCGACTAAAGTTTGTACGCGGTTGATTTAGTGAATCCTTGAGTTGTTGCCACAGTAGTTGAGAATTTGGTCTGTGTAGTTTGGCTTCCGATATACTTTAGTCCTCCGTTTTCCTGTATTGGTTCTGGTGATCAGTACACCCAAGAATGATAGTTTGTTGTTCGACTCCTTTTCTATTGTGAATTTTACATAATCGAAGACTTTGCTGATCAGATTGTGGTTATTCTTCAGCTCTTCCTTCTTGGTGTTGATGAATGTGTTGTCCACAAAACGAATCTACATTTATGACTTGAACATTGGTGAAATCGAAGCTTTTAGTCTCTGCATTACTGATTCTGCGATAAGTCCTGATATTAGTAATTCTATCGGTGTTCCTTTTGTTTATTCGTAGATTTTATTGAGTCAAAAATATATTGTCAGACATTAATAGATGAGTTGTAGTAGACTTTGAAGCCTCATTTACTTAGGGAGATTTGTATCATTTTTGAGGAGCAGGAATAAAGTTTCTTTTGCCAAGCTTGATTCAGTTGAGGTGAGTAAGGCTGCTACGTCGGAGCATATAATTATTTTGTCGTTGTTGATCTAAATCTCCTTAGTCCTATCCAAGAATTGTATGGGAGGTTTGATGGAGTGATTGGATGGATCCACCTAATGTTTAAATATTGAAATTTATTGATACTTTGTATGTTGATGTTCCGGGACGTGATACGATTGGACCTAGTGGAATGTTTGGTTTGTATATTTTTGGCCTACCGTAGAGTCGGAGTACAGGTCTACTAGATTTCATTCTTCATTGATCTTGGTTTGATATTTGACCTGCTTTAATAAGTTTGTTTAAGATCCTTGATATTTACTTGTGTTGATTGTTTTATATATGCTTTTATTCTCAGGTAGTTCGTCGGCTTTACTGATATACTCTTCCTTATAGTAAGTCTTTTCTCCACTAGAACTATGACAATATATTTCCTACTTCTGAGTTTCTTTAAGGCCTTTCGTTCTTGTGCGGTCGGTTAGGTGTTATCTTTCTTCGTTCGAGTTGGTGGTACTATGGTTTGGCTTATATCCTGTTGAGTTTCTTCATTTATTCTGGCAGTTTTGAGTGATAATTCTAGTGCGGCGAAGAATTCTGGTTCTGAGGTGTCACTTGCATTGTAATCTAATCTTTTTGGAATTGTTCTTCAGAGGTTGTTTTGATAGGTTGACCACGCGATTGTTTGTGTTTTCTTCTGTGGGTGACTTCCAAATCTTGATAGATTTTTCTTTAAGGGTGTCTCTTCTTCGTCCTCTGTGTTATCTGCATGATACCTCGATCGCCGTTGTTCTTCTTTGGTCATCCATGATGTGTTGGTATTTTTGGATTCTGTAATGTTCATAACTTACCATAAGGTGTACCATTTTCCTTCCACCTTGGTTAGCTATTAATCGTCCACTTGGTCAGTTGATCGGTGTTCCGTATCTTACACTTTTTAGCAAAACATGCGGATGAAGATACTCTTGGATAAGGTAAAGTTCTCGAGTGTAAGCCTGTCTTTTGGCGAAATGTTCCCGTTTTCGAAAGACGAGGAGCGCGCTTTACTCATATGATTTTAAAATGATGGAGAAGATTTGTAGTTCATGTGGGTCAGAAAAGGTTAAGGACAAATATAGGACCAAGAATCAGAATCAAAATAAAGGGGCAGATAACAACATGTTGAAGGTTGACAGGAAAAGCTGAGTCATATGTGGAGAAATGCGGATCCTTCACTTCTACTTCAAGTTTGTACTGATGGTGATGTTTAGATCAATGGAAGTCTCACGACCAAATCATCCAGCCCAGGGATTTATTATTATTTTAACACAGGAGGGTACGAATACAAAATTGTTTTTGTATTACGTCAGTAATCAAGTTTTCTTGAATTTGAATGCATGTTATCCAGTTTTGTGCGTTGGGCTGATTTTATTTGCTAAAATGTTTCTACAGGATTAGCGTATATCGATACTATTACGAATTCTACTACTCTGGCTTCTCACTGTGCTGATGTGCTGTGACAACTTCAACTGATGGATATGTACGCCAGTTCTACGTTATGTATGACCGACTGATATACAGATGATGAGACTACCGAATGGGTTACAATGAAGTTAGGTGTAGATTGCTAAGTGCATATGGTTAGTCCGTCATGTAGTTTGATAATATTTAATGAATAATATAGTTGCAACATAATTTATGGATTCCGTAATAAAATCCTTTTCACAAGACTTATTCAGATTTAGGGATTGTTGATTTATTCTATTTCAGTGCTAAAACTGGGCCATTTTGCGTCCACAATAATTGTCTGTTCACTCGTTTCTTTCTTGTGAATCTAGATCATAGAATTTCAATCTCGGAAAGTTAGAGAGAATCATTTATATTTGATTTGACAACAGCATGCGAAGTAGTCACTTATCTGAACTAATATTAAGGTGATCGAGCACCTTAAAATAAAAGTTTTAAATATTTTGTTTTATTACTTCATATTAAGGAGACGTGTAAATAATTTAGGCATTATACCTGTTACTGATATGAAAATGTAGTATTTAATGTTGGATTGAAAATGTACGTGTGGATTGTGAAAAATTAGTCATGATTTCCGATTTTTCAAAAGAAGTCAACCTTTTTTTCCACCTTTTTATCTTCAGGGTCTGCTGAATATCTTCTTCTCCGACTGGGCAACCAAAGATATTCGTCTTCATTTACCGTTCATTTACAATGTCATCAGCCAAGCATTCTACTCCTATCCACCTGCCTTTATTCATTTTCGTAATAAAATTCGTGTTGTTCATTTTATTGGGTCTGAGAAACCTTGGCACTGTGAACTGGACAAATTCGGACAAGTCATTGTTCGTGATCCCACAAGTGTTGGAACTCCTGAATTTTTGCAGCACTGGTGGAATTTATTTGTGACCCACGTTCATCCAAAACTAACCCCTGGTGAGGTAAGTGAATTACTCATGAATACGTCCCTCAATACACCATTATTAAACCAAATATAACAATTTGGAACTTTACTTGTATCATTTATCGGACAGAATGGTTCTACAAACCAAAAATAATCATATCTTGTTGAAAAATGAATCTCTTCAAACCTTTGAGAAATATTAAGGAGTTTAATTTTTTAACTATGTTATTTATTAATAACGACTGAAAACTGTTTTGTAGTTTTACTTTATATTTACCGTGTGTTATAAGTAAGGTAATAGCTCCATGTTCAAAACCATACTTTCTGAGTGAGTACTGTCAAAGTTCCAATTTTGTATTCGGTTGTCACTGAAAGGCTGAATAACTTGATAATACCAAATCCCTTCAAATTCTCTTTGTGTTTTATAACATGTGAGAAGTGTTTATCAAAACTTCTGAATTAAGGTAGTCTATTACCTGTCAGGTTAAGCACTAACTTCTGTCGTATTAAGAGCCTAAAATTTACCTATGTGGATGCTTCATATGATCAGTTTAGGCTTTTTATTTACACTAGATACAAGTTTGTGGGAATCAGTTGTTTAGAGGAAAAACTAAGTTCACTGGAATGTTGGATCACAAACGATATTTAATAGTATCATTTACTTAATTTATTGGTTCAGATCTAAAATAGATCTTCCCATATATTAAGTTTCTATTCTAAATAGTATAGTAGCTAGTAGGTATTTGGAATTAATAGGATCATATAACATGGTGAGCACTTTTCCTATCGTAGGTAACGCATATTCGCTTGATACTATTACAAATTCTTTCAAAATTCATCAATAATAATCCTTAAATTGAGTCGAGCATAATTAATTACACTCACTTGTTGTATGTAATAATCTCTATCCTTTGTTTATGGGAATAAGTTTCACTCTTTGCCATCAAATAATACTAAATGAAAAGCTAGTTACCACACAAGAGTATTGAACAGTTAATGTGAGTTATCATTCATTATCAAAAACAATAGACCCTAGTGATAATAATTTCATCAGAAGTTACGTAAGTACCGTTGCTTAAATTTTATTGGTTTGTGAGATCAAACGTATTGATAGAGGGGGGCAGATTTACTATGCTGCAAACCCATCAACTGTAACTCTATCGTCATGTTATTTTAAAGTTAATAGCTTTATCTCAGATAAAGGAACCACATTTTACCACTATTTCTAAACTGACACGAAATAAGTCTACATCTCTCCTTGTTTTAAGATGCCTTGTCTACACAGTATTGTTTTAAAATGGAATTTGTCACGTTTGTGATGTTCCTAATTTGATGGAAGTCTCAACGCCTTAACTTTTACAATAATAATAAAACTCATACTTTACTAACGAAATTTTATGTTGGAGACTTCTAACCATATTTATCACATGTTCACCCATCTGGGCTTATGAAAGCGAATTTGTTTCATTAATATTTCATTGAGGTTACTATTTACAGTTTTGAATGGAAGGAGACATTTTACATGGATATTCTTTTGTTATTTTGAATATAGCTGGTTTGTTGAAAAGTTCATTTTTGTTTTCCTTTACAAAAATCAACCGTTGAAATGATATTTGTCTGTCCTAATTGACTTTTTATAGACTTTATCAACGCTGCAGGTAAGAATTATTTTGTGGATGTTGTCGATGCTCTGAAGTCGTTATATCACCTATGTATCTACCATTACATTTTAACTGTAGTTGGTTTATTCTAACATTAATTATTATTTTTTTATAGAGTAGTGAAATGGTTTACTTGTCTTTTTATATATTTCCGGTAAAAATTAACAGAGCGATTTTGTGGGTAAATTGGCCCAGATTGAGATAAGTCAATCTTCCTCAAGCTTGACTCAAGCCAGTGATGAATCTGAAAGACAATTGGCATGGGAACGTGGGCAAATGGATTATATGGGTTCTGATTCATTTGAAAAAATACAAAATCTTCTGGAATCAAAAATCAAAAAATAGAAACTAGTATATAGTAAGTAAGTAGCAATTAGCAGCAATACATATGAGAGTAGACGCACAAGTTATGCAGACTGAGCATGCATGCATACTTACTAACATTTTGCTACGCATTGAATAACCAAATTTTTAACTGCTGCTCACATGTTTTGACACATCAGTCTTATAAACAAACAGTAATAACTCCTAATGATTGCAATATCTCTTGTTCTACATAGATTAAAAAGAGGTATACCATAAGCTGATTTTTTGAATTATTCTGCCTTAAATTATTCCTAATTCATTTTGCTTATATTTCTGCTCATTACTGTTTGTTTTTGATTTTGTGGTTACTTTTCATTGATAATCTTGTGGATATATTGGACCAATGATATATATATAATTACCAAGTATTTCTTCAGATTATTTCAATAGAATTAATAACTCATACTATTTCTATGATTTATTTCATTCTCACCATTTTGGTTTTCATATTCTTCTATGTAATTTTGAAGTGTTTATCTTGACTATTTAAAGTTTCCAATTTTCCTTTTTATTTCACTTTAATCTACTTTCGTGTTTTTATGAAAAACTACTTTGTATTTGAGTTATATATATATATTGTTGAAGTTAGTATAATAGAATATTGTTTACTTATGACAAGTACATATATAGAATGGTTCGATTTTTGTTCTGGTGAAATATTTCCTCTTGAGTTTTCAAACGTTTTCCTTAAATTAGTATCTGATATTGTTCCACTAGCGCTTTATCATGTGTGAAAGATTATTTCTTCTATCACATTATTCATTTCTTTTCTTTTTACCATTACTTTCATGAATTTAGGCTTGCTTCTTTCTTGTCATTGTAGCTATAAAAGAAAAACAAACAATAGCCTAATCAGTTATGATTTTTGCATTACTTTGATATCCACTCTTTTTTGTTGTTGTTGTTGTTTTTGTTGATAAAGATGTCTTCCATTCATAATGTTTTATGGAAAGTAAAGCAACCTGTAAATTTTCTTCATGTGTTCCTTACGTTTAATTTAGTGAAATAGTAAACAGAAATTGTTTATATTTGAAAGAAAAACAATTTATTCAATTTTTCATAAATGTATTTAAAGATGCTCTCTAACAAAACAAAAAAACACAGTCCAAAATTTATTAGCTTTCGCAAAAATGAAGATAAGTGAGAATTGTTATTATTCGTCAAAGAAAAAATACATTCTCAGGAATCATTTTTTTGTTAAGTAAAAATAAATATTTTAATTCAATGCGTAGTCAAGTTTATCATTTTATCCACCATACTAATAATTGAAAACGTGCTATAGTTTGATTGGTTATCATCATTTCTTACTTGATGTACTATAGATCCAATGTAGACGAAGTAATTAGAATGGTTTTAAATATTAGTAAATAATTTTTTTCAAACATATGATAAGCTTCTTGAAAATATAAGTAATCTTTAAGGAAATGTACCAGTTTGCTTTCACATATGTCGTATATTTCAATTAATGGAGTGAAACGCCATTAAAATTCATTTGATGGATGTTTCTGGTTTCACTTTAAAAGAATTTACTTTGTCAAAACATTTCTCTGTTGTTATACTGCAAACTAATGTATATTTTCGAATGAAGATATCTGATCGTGTTACAATCGTTTAAAATAGTAAATTTATTTGATCCCACTCTTATTCTTAATAAGTTTCCTTTTTTCGCCCAGGTATTTCTGTTACCTTTCAACAACAATAAAATACCAAAACTCAGGTGATATATGAACATTCTTAGTTTATAAAAAAATTGTCATCGTCATTTGGTTTTCGAAAAAATATGCTTTGATCTTGGTCAGATTATCAACTAGCCACTGATTCGTTAGAGAACTGATAAGATTTATTTGGTAGCTATCGTAAGAAGAATAGTTGGATATGTAAATAACTTCGACAGTATATAACGTCCTCCAAAAGATTTTAATAATCTAGTCTTCATTTGAATTTCTATAACAAATGAGCATAATTCGACAGGGCAACTAAACTTAATATCACGAAATGTTGTATCTTAGCTAAACGTTTTGTAAATTTGTTATTATTTAACTATAAAATATCGTCCAGGAGAAATAAGGAAAATAACACCGTGCTTTAATTTATAGATTTATACTTTCGTGACAATAAAGCCGTTAAAAGATTACTAGATGACAATAATATGACTATAAAATGTAGTTATTTTTTTCTTTTGGTAAAGTAAACGTTATTTATGTTAGTCGACAAAAATCTTTGAAGAATTTATCTGTTCAAAGAAGTTATTGTAATACTGATCACTCACGAACCGTTAATTGTAACATTCTTTATTGAAAATTACCTTAAATTCAATATCATGATTATCATTTCCAATTAACACTTAGAAAAGCATAAAACATTAATATCTTCAGTGGAATAATAAACCTACTTACTCTTAGTTTGGCTTTTAAGTAATTAAATCTCTTAAAAAGTTATGACCTACAGTATGTTACATCTTTGGTGATTTTATTCGTATTACTTAATACCAGACAAATTCTCTTACTTCACTTGTCGATATTCTTATTGCCTTATGATTCTGAAATGAATTTACGTAATAGATCAGACACTTTTAAATCACTTAAACAACCTGATATATGTGTATTTTTTTTCCTTTAGTTAAGAACTATGAAACTTTAACACTATATTTTATTCTATACCAAAAAATGATTACCAATTCTAGTTACTTTCGCGGCAATATATATATATATATATATATATATATATATATATATATATATATATATTCACTGTAAGTGTTTTTGTAGTCAACTTATCGATCTATAGAAATTATGCCCATGATAACAAACTTTTTTTCCTAAAGATTTTAAACGTAAATAACTAAACAGAAGAGAGAGAGAGGAGAAGAGAAAAATTTAACGATGTTTAAAGAAATAATTATTAGTTCGTCAATAAATAGAAATATTGTTTTCTTTTATTTTGGTAATATAAAATTACCATGACAGCTAAAACAACATTATTCAACTAGAATATTGAATAGTTTTGTTAGAATTTAAGTTAATATGTTGCTTTAAAAAAATAAAGCTTTTTATTAAAGCGGATATTTACTCATATACTGTTTTCTTTCCAGTGTTTACTTTTTACCCGTTAACACTGGAAAAAAATAAACACACTAGGTTTGTCATTCAAACAGTGAAGAATAAAATGATGAAGCCAAAATTATAAGAAATAATAGATCCATCAATCAATTAAGATTTTCTAATAAATCAAATCATTTTATTCTTATCAGTTTAGGGGTTGTGGAGATTGTTAAGTTTTTGATTGAAATCATGAGTCAATTGAAGCTAGATCACCATGGAAAACCTGGAAGCACTGGACGGCCTTTTCGTTCTAGTATGGGACCCCTCAGCACTACGCATCCACGATCCCGCACCCTGAGGGATTCGAACGCAGGACCTATCAGTCACGCGCCAGGCACTTAACCAACTAGACCACTGAGCCGGCATCCAATGGTGTTAATGTCTAACCTCAACCAATCCACGAAATTGCGCGACCATCTTCCATTGTACTGAGGTAGACACCTGTTTCTACCCGATACAGATTAGCTCCACTGGTCACAGCTTCCTACCAGAACTCCGAGAATTTTCTCACGAAGCTAGTCACTAGTGAGCACATACTAGGACGAGACGATCTTTCAGTGCCTCCAGGTTTTCCATGGTGATCTAGCTTCAATTGACTCATGATTTCAATCAAAAACTTAACAATCTCCACAACCCCTAAACTGATAAGAATAAAATGATTTGATTTATTAGAAAATCTTAACTGATTGATGGATCTATTATTTATTATAATTCTAACTGGATCATGATTCGATAGAGATAAAATGTAAAGCAATTAGTTCCTTTCATAAATTTTGATAGAATAATGAAAAAAAGAACTTCATCTTAAAAATGTGATGTATTTGCGTTATACATTTAAAACAGTCTGGTCACAAACATACTTGTCAAGGCATTTTATATGAAAATTAATAAAAGACAGTCAAATACTTGATAATCAGAATAAGTTCCTGTCGGAAGTTCTATTCAAAATTAATGTTACATAATGAGAATCCAGGGTAAATCCCAATCTAGTGAAGCTCCTTAAAGTGAATGTCATAAACAAAGAGGAATTTGATTTGCTAAAACCTAACAACCCATTACGACTATTACTTGTATGTCGTTCACCTACACACGAATTAGCAACACCGTAGAAAAAACCACTTTTATTATGTTAAGTTCAGTTCACGTTTGAAGGTGAACATTTTTGAGAAGGTGATAACGTTACTATGGGTAGCCGTTCGGGACCTCTCTTAGCTGATGAATTTATGCCATATACTGATATATCTCGAGTAAGCCCATTAGTGAGGTAACCCTTCATAGGAGATAAATGGATAATGTATTAGATATATGCGATAAAGATTTTGATGTTGCCCAGTAAACAGCTAAACTCAATAGTGTACAGAATGATATCGTAATGACGTATGGGGAAGAAAGTAATGACCGGCTGCCCTTTTTAGACATACTTTAAAGTTGAAGAGAGGATCGAACTACAAGGCAGTCAGTTTATAGGAAGCTAACGTAGGCAGATCAGTATTTAAATTTTTGCAGTTTCCGTCCATTGCAACACAAGCGAGCCTTGGTTAAGTACGTCTTTAATAGGATTCAATGAATCTGCACCACAGATACGGTTGAATAGGACTCAAAGCTACTAAATGACACACTTATATTAAATGGTTATCCACTAAAGTTTGTCAGTAGATGCAAAAGTCACTCAGCACCAAAAGCTGTCTTTCATTTTGTTCCGAAGAAAACTGTTTATATCTCTCTAACATTTAGGGGTGAGCCTAACAGTATAAGTTTAAGATAGAGATTAAAAGCAGCCGTCGAGAAAACTTATTACCTCGCTAAACTGGTTGTGATCGTAAGGACTTAAACCATGATTCCAAATAGACATAGGCAATGCACGAATGATTACGTCAT